AAAAAAAAAAAAAAAAATGTTGGCAACTTATCCTGCTCTAAACTGAGTTCTTTTGGGAAGTCATTTGTGTCATATTTTAATAAAAAACAAACAAACAAACAAACAGGGTAGTCATTCATAATTGAAATGACCACAGAAAAAAAACAACTTTGCCTTGATACATTCAAAGATTTCACCTTGCGCAGTCGAGCGTGGTAGGCGTCGTCGTCTTCGTTGTCGGCCCTCTGCGTGTCCACGTGGTGGCGTTCGCAGGTTCGGATCAGGTCGTGGGCGTCGTAGAGAAGTGCGGGGTCCAGCGAGTGGGCGTTGATCAGACTGACCAGGTACTCTCCGTAGTGTTTGCTGCACAGAGTGATTTTACCTCCTTCATTCGCTCGGGCGGTTGTGCTTCCGATTGCAAATCCTGATGTGTGCCGTCAAGACGGAGTTACGTGAGGAGCGTCGTACTCACCCGCAGAGTCCGGCCTGGCCCGGCTGAGTCTGGATGCCACAGGGCGAGTCCACGAGCTGACCTCCTTCATCTTTCTGCTCCATCACGCCGCACGTGCCTGCGTCATACAGGAGAGTACACAAAAGGCATACATTTATCTGAGGAGGAGGGAGAGAAGCAGTGGGCCAAATACTGACCCCTGTGTTCTTTTACGGGACTGGTAAGCATTGACATAAAACACTTGCCGGTCGCCCTTACCCGCCTGCAGTTCGTCAGAAGGTTCAGTGTTGAATTCTACGCCTCTCATCTGACAAACAGAAGCGGATGGGGACATGTGAGCAAACAATCAAGACGTTGAGATGTAAGCTGGAGAAAGCACTGGCGTGGGGTCGCACTTGCAGCAGCGCCTGCAGCCGTGTGGTCTCCCAGTCTCTTAGGTAGAAGAGACAATCGCGAGGATGGTGAGTGTGGAAGCCCTTGAAGTGGCAATGTTCGGTCCTGCAGCCCGTCTGCAACACATTGGAGGGGAAACTGCTCATCATCTGCTAAACTCAAGTAGAAGTCAACGTGCTTGTGTCAAGTAAAAC